TTTCGCTCCAGCCCAATGTTTGAAGCAGTCTGCCAAGATGAAGCTGAATGGTGTTTTTGATCTTGGATCAAAGCGAACCCCTCCAGCTCGGCTCTGGCAGTGCTGCTCGCCGCTGCCTTCTATGTGGGGCTGCATGGCATTCATGTAAAGAGTTTAGCTGCTTAGCTAAGTTTAACTTATCAAAATCATTCTTCGACTTGCACGCCTAAATTAAGGATGAGAACGGTTTGAAATTTCGGAACCAGCAGTAGCGCGCTTCTTGTGAGGAAACTGAGTCACCATAGAGAGTGTTCGAGACATCTTGTGAAGTGTTCATGAGTTTGATTCCTATGGTTTCTTTGTCCTGTGAGACTTTTCTGACTCTCGCTGTAGAGTAGAGCTTGGGAAACGCTGGCTTCCGCAATGAGCCTTGATCTTTTTTGATCCTTTCTCCATAGCCATTTTCTCAACAATTTTGTGGGGGAATTTGTGCAGGGTAGCTGTGGCCTCGACCGTTGCAGCAGTCTCGCTGAACCCGACGCGAAGCGATGTCTTACAACATGGAGCTCTTTCACGATGATTTCGAGGCCCCTTCCGGACGGTTGAGCACAAGAAGCTTGTTTCAAGATGGGCTAGGTCTAGCAGTTGTGGTAGTTATTGTGCTTCCTTTAGTTGATTGCTTTGCGGAGGACCAGCTGTTGCAGAAAGACGCCGGCTTTGAACGTGGGATCAGCGATGCTACAACAACAACCGGGGCAGAACTGCCAGAGCTTGAAGACTTGGAGGACACTCCTTGTAAATTGGAAGAGGGAGAGTATGAACGAGTATGAATATGAAGAAGTAGGAGGTCCATAGTCGCATAGCGGTGTATGTAAGACAGCTAGCCGAGTTGTTTCACGGCGACATGTTGTTTCTACTTTGGAACAGAAGGTGCTCATTGATCGTGACATTGCAATGTGACACCAAATGCATGCGGCTAATGTAAAGAGCAATGAGCCCAACACAGCCGGAAAGTCCACACATCATGCAGAAGGACAAGACTGTGAAAAGTGGAGCGTTTTTCATTTGACTAGGGGTTCATTGGAGGACTTTGAGCTTCGACGAACGGTGGCGATGCGACCTTCGTGCAAGGGCTAAAAGGCGTGGCCGGTATGGAGGACGCCACGGATGTGTCAAATATGATAGGAACGAATTGATCCAGGCATGCAGTCAATGGGTGGTATGTGGAGACAGCCTGAAACTACGCCGGCAGGACATTCGTGTCAAGTTCCTTGCCGATCCAGGTCCGGATGTGAAAAGGAACCCACGCGTGGGCTCCTTGGGGTGTTTTCGAGACAGCCCACGCAACTGCCATCAACAGCCTTTCCAATGTCTTCACATCTTTCTCCATTCTTTTGCACGCTGCTGGCACGAGCTATATGACATAGTTTGCTTGGCTCAGGTGCCACGCCATACCTGGGCCATCACACCTGATGACCCTGAAGCCATGAACCCTCCATGCAAAGAAGACCTGGATCAAAAGTCCGTGGTGGATTTCCACCCCATGGTGACCATGCACGTCTTCCGCCCCTAGTGATATGAATCTGCTGGGCGATGGAGCTGCAGAAGATTGCAGAGGGATTTTGATCCGCTTCAAGGATTTCGGATAGTCCGTGATTCAGTGATACTCCCTTAAGCATCCTGGACACCACTAGGAGCATGTCCTTCATACTTTCCTGGAAGATCATTTCTTGTTCATGTGGGAAGGGATCTTAGATAGCTTGGTCACCACGTGGCCCCCCATGTTGCATAGTTCCTCCTTTGGGGCATCCTTTGCTGCGTCCTTGGGGGTCTCTTTGGTGGTTGCTTTTTTGCCCTGGCGGTGGCGTGAGGCCCTTTTGGTTGAAGAATAGGCTGGCTTGGAGAGGCCGGCGGTTGTTGCAGAGGATCGCTTGGCTGGCTACCGACATGGTCAGTAACAAGCGCTTGGAGCCAGCACCCTCCCCACCATGATCCAAAACAAAAATCTGCCCCTGTACCTTTTCGCCCGCTAGCCTCTCGGTAATCACTTCTGACTTTGCAGGGCCGCATGTGCCCATCTGGCTGGTGACACAGTTTGAAAGTTGCAGGGGTGGACAGGAACTTTGAGTGGTTACGTCTAGGCCTGCCAGATCGCACAGCCACAGCCATACCAGTGCTGAAGCGGGCAGGAGGTGTGTTGATCGTCCTTCTGGGCGACGTTCCTCCAGAAGAGGAAATGCTTGCAGGAGCTGTTGGAGGAGACATTTTGGACATAAGCCCCTATCTCGTGACCAATGTGCTGGTCGAGAACACAGTGAATGACGCGCTGGTGTGAGTGCTGGTCTTTGGCTTTCCTTCGCTCGCCTTTGGTGCGCTCAAAGCCTCATGTTGCCCCACGCCAGGGAGCGTGGCCCACCGATGTTGTGGACACAGAACTGAGGTTCTCACCTGGGCGCCAATCATCTGCCGTTCTACTGCCACCCGCCCATCAATGGCCAAGAGCTGAGGCTCCCAGCCAGGTAGGCTCACTGACTGCAGGCTGTGGAGACAAAATTGGCGACTGGCTGAGCCAGTTTGCCTGGGCAGCTATGATGGGTGTGACCTTGGGCTGATCTGTATCGGAGAAGTTTCCTTTGTTTTGCGGGACAAGGTTCGCGCACGAACAGTCGTGAGCTGTTTGGCCACGCACGTGTCGACAGTGGCGAAGTTCAAGCTTCAGATCACTACCCTTTCTGCCATGTCCTTCCCCAGCTGGAGAACTTAGTTTCCTCTGCCAACGCCTTGCGCACAACGGTACTCGAAGGTGCTGCCAGTTGCACCGCATCTTCGCAGCCGAGTGCTTCAGAGCAGAGTTCCCAGTATACACCGGATTTAATTAGCCAATTTTTGCTTGCTGTCGGCGCCCGCCAACTCACACCGTCCATAGGCAATCAGCAAGACCTGCACTTCAAACCGGTACAGGACCGTGGCGTTGGCACTGGGCGAGGTTGAATGGAGAGAGAGGGCAGTTGGTAGCAAGCGGACGTTCTGGCGAGACGCAGGAACCCATCTAGTTGGCCCCTTGCATACTGCATCAGTCCAGATGAGGGACGCCAATTGGGTTACGCGCCCCCCTGCTCGTCTATGGAGCAATGAAGACTGAGGGACCCACTCAAGGCTTATCCATCCAATAGATGGCAGCTGTTTTCGCAAACCTGCCAGACGAGCGCCCGAGCACCTTTTGTCGATAAAGCGCGGCCAACCTTGGCCTAGCAAGGGATGTGAGCAGCTCCCACGACATGGGCGCGCAGACCGCCAAGGGCCGAGCTTCAAGGCTCGGGCATTGGACGTGAACAACTTTGGCATAACATGCGTTGTCGTGATTGTGTTCCAGTCGATGAGCCATCTCAGCTCAGCAGCCGTGCGTGCTGAGCGGCGCGTGATAGATTGAAGCGGGAGCCTGTATATACATGTTTTGTACATTTTTGTACAATTCCCCCGATAATTGCTAGCTACAAGGATTCTTGCTTCTCAATGCTGTTCCTCTGGCTCGGCGTTTCGTTTTGCCCGTGCTGGTGCTGGGTCGGCGTTTTGCGTGGGCGTGCAGGTGCGGGTGCTGGTCTGGGTTCTGGCGCGGGTGCTGGTCCTGGATCGTGGTTTTCCACAGATTGACAGGGATAACACCATGTCATGCCAGGGACGGTGTCGGCCCAGTTTTTCCCTCTATATGGGTTTAGAAGTCCACAAACTTCCTATACGTCAGGGACATTTTTTCCCGAGAGCGCCTGCGAAGGGTTCTTCGTAAAACAACATCTGCAGAACTACACCTCCTCTACATCTTCACATCTTCACCTCTGCGCAATCACGTTCTCATCTATACCTCTGCTCATCTTCACATCTGCACATCTACGTCTCTGCTCATCTTCACACCCTCGCATCTACATCTCAGCTCATCTTCATCTTCACACATCTACGTCTCTGCTCATCTTCACATCTGCACATCAACATCTCTGCTCATCTTGTCATCCTCACATCTACATCTCACATCTTCACCTCTCGCTCTTCTTAACTTTCTCTCTTAAGGCCGGGGGCAGTGCCGCCGGACCGCCACGAAACGCAACCCTCTGCGGAGACCGTGCGTGTCGGACGCGCGAAATGCAGGCGAGAGTGCGATTTGGTTTTGTCGCGGGCAACCCTCTGCGGAGATCGTGCGTGTCGGACGCGCGAAATGCAGGCGAGAGTGCGATTTGGTTTTGTCGCGGGCATGCAACCTTCTGCGGAGATCGCGCGTGCGCCGCGTGTCGGATGCGCGAAATGCAGGCGAGAGTGCGATTTGTCCCGGTCCGGGGTTAACCCTCTGCGGAGATCGCGCGTGTCGGACGCGCGAAATGCAGGCGA